AGCTGGGCGGGGTGGGCCGTCACCGGCGTCTCCTCTCTCACCTCCAAACTCATTCGTACTGCCCCCGGTGGTACGGAGGGCGACAGCCCCAACAGTGTGCCTGTGGCCCCCGTCAGCTCAGCCACCCCCAGTACAGACAAAGGTGAGAAGGGGGGCAGCGTCCTGGGAAAGTCAAGGCAGCCGTGTGAGATTATCTGCATGTTGGTGATGATGATGATGATGATGATGAATACGTGCCTTTCCAGCTCGTCAGTCTCTCTCCTGTATCAGCAGGATCTGGACCAAAGACTGATGGATCCACTCCACAGGCACCCCCCTCTGCCCCCGCCAGGCAATGGAGCACCTCCAAGGAGGAGGAGGAGGAGGAGGAGGAGGAAAAGGATGTCACTGAAGACCGCTGGGATGATGAAGACTGGGGCAGTTTGGAGGTAATCGTGAAATTGCTCGTAATTGTTCTTTGCTTAAATCCCATACGGTAATAAATGGTTTGGGGGTGTGTTTAATAGCAAACTCTGCACTGATGTTCCAACACAGGACACCGAACACTCAAAAACACAGACAGACCCTGACGACTGGAACTCCTCAGATTGGTCAGCAGTCTCGTCTGTTCGGAAGAAGACCAATGAGAAACGTGTATGTCTTTTTGTTTTACTTAATTTTATGGAAGTGCTTGAGTTTCCCCATCAAAATCTATTCCTGAGGAATGTTGCTGGGCTGAAATGCTTTTCTTTTGCATATTACAGGGTAATATTGGCTGTCTTCAAATTTCTTTAATAATCTAATTGTCTTGCATCTGTGCAGGTGGGTGGAAGCTCCGCTGACGCAGTCAAAAAGCAGAGTTCTGATTGGAGCAGCGGCTGGGATGCAGATGACAGCTGGTCCAATGAAAAGGACGCCGACGGCCAGGGCCAGAGCTCGCCTGGTGACGAGGGCTGGGGCCATGACTGGGACGAAGAGGCCGACTCCGCTGACAGTTTAACCTCCGCCCAAAAGGAGGCGCCAGACTTTAGTAAAAAGAGCCGGCCCACAACCGGCGGCCCTGCGACCTTGCCTGAGGGCACCCGTCTGGCCAGCGAGTACAACTGGGACAGTACCAGTGCAAGGGGCTCACAAAATGACTTTTTCTCTGGCATTTCACAGAGAGCGCCCCCTGCTGTCACGGTGAGATGGGGCATGACAATGGAATCATGTCTGACAATTTTTAGTAAAAATGGCTGACTTATACAGAGGTGGACATCTCAGGTCCAGAAAATAAAAATCCAAACTAGGATTTCATTTCAACCAACCTACTGAGTATAAAGATTCACAGCCATATAGTACTCAACTGATTGGTTGAAACAAAATCCTGGTTTGGATTTTTACTTTCTGGACCTGAAATGTCTACCTCTGGACTTGTATATATTATGCAATGTTTAATGTATGACAGGACGTACATTATATGTTTTTAAATAGGCAGCTGCAGAGACCACCCAACATGCAGCGGAGTGAATTTAAAAACATATAATGCGCGGCTTGGAGTGCAATAACCTGCTTATACCACGGTTACTACACATCTGGCTTATATGTTTTTACAGAAACACATTATTCTCCAGTTTAAGCTGAAGACGCATTTATTAGTAGAAACATTGCAGTTTTTCTGGTTAATTTAAATTGAGTTCTATTTCTGGAATTTTAGGTAACGTTAGAAAGATTATTATGGTGCTTTGATCTACTGTGAATCGGCTGGCTGGCGCTATGTGTGCAATCATAGAAAATTAACCAACAGCCTTCTGACCAATCAGATTTGAGAATTTTAAGTGTCCCACTGTTCAGGGAATGTTTTGCCATGTGAAAGTCACCTGCAGTGCATTGAGAAAGTGTGAATGTTGATGACTGGAAATCAATATAATAATCAATGGATTTTTCTCATCAGTCACCGAAGAACACAGAGGCGTGGGGGGCGGATCCAGGGGCGGACTGGGGTACGGAGGAGAACTGGGAGTCACTGGACAGTGAGCACGGTACGTTCCGAAAGCCTTTTGCAGTTTATGTAGGTCAGTGAAAAACACAGAACTTGTAGGCTGTATGCATGCAGGCTGTTACTCAGCATTTATGCTCAGTTATTATCCATGGGGGGTAAGTAGCTCACCAGTCCGCTGTTAGTGCCCCCCAAGCTATAATACTACTGATGATGGACTAATGTGAGGAGAATAATCTTAGCCTGACTTTAGATGATATATTTGGTTGAGAATGGGGTTCAGGGAGAACATGCTGTGCTTCGAGCCAATTTGAATTGGGTGCCTTAAAATGTGTGTCTGTTGACAGGCCTCAGCAAGGCGGAGCTGGCCAAGAAGAAGCGCGAGGAGAGGAGGAAGGAGCTGGAGGCCAAGCGGGCAGAACGCAAGGCAGCTAAAGGGCCTCTGAAGCTGGGCGCCCGCAAGCTGGACTGACGGGTGTAGATGGGAAGGACCAGGACTGCGAGGGGAGTGGGGGCTCACCCAAGGCACAGGAGAAGGCTCAGCCGGAGCCTAGCTGTCTCCCAGTAAGAATGACACAGCTCGGGTGGGGAGAAAGATGTGATTTCTGTTCTTCCCCATTGGTCATAGACAGACAGGGTGGTGGGAAGATTGTGTCCAAATGAAAGACAAACTCAGACAATGACCTCACAGCAGACTGATTTGGAATCCCAATATTTTTATTATTTCCAGTTTTTTTTATACACATACAATTTTACTGTTGTAAAGTGTGTACTATATACTCCTGCTTGTCGGCGAATGGGGATAAAAAGGCCATGTGAATACTAAGTGTATATTTGAGTCACTGTATGTGTTGTGAGCAGACTGCACTGCACTGCACTGCACTGCACTGCACTGCACTGCCCAGTAGCTGCTGAGGGAGACGTTCATCGCCAACTGCTCTCTCATTGCATTACGTTTGACAGCCCTGAACTCATGGATAAACGCATCACAGCAGACAGGTTTTCTGTATATCAGCAAAGACACTTTGGCTCGGTGGGTGACATGAACATGAAGCAGATTATCAGGGAATACGGAACATTCTGGTGTTTACCCTGATGTAGAGCAAACAGCAGAAATCCACATAAGGACTAGTTGAGCGATGTGTGCCTCTGTGGGATAGGGCTCTGTGCCTGTGATCAGAAGGTTGCCAGTTCAGATCCCTGGGTTGGCAGAGTGATGTCACCACTGGGCACTAGCGCAAGGACTTTAACCCCCAATTGCCACAGGGACTGTCAACCCTGCCTTGATTTAAAAAAAAAAAAAAAAATGGATGTCACTTTGAATAATAAGCATCTACTAAATAAATAAAATGTAAATGTCTGATTATGTAGCTGAAGAGGCATTGATGGCAAAATCGTCCTGCTGGTTCCGGTCAAGGCCTTTCTGTGGCAGTGTGGGTAATGGTGTCTTCCCTTACGCTGAGTGGCTTTTCATGGCTAAGGCCGGGCTTAGAGGCAGGTCTGCTGGAGAGAGGGAGGCGGCCGCCGTGGTTTATAGGATGAATTATACTATGTATATCTGTACATACAAAATAAACTGAAACAATATAATCACTTTTCTGAAATGGAATTCATTACGCATGACAACATTTGACATTCTGATGTCACCATCGCCCCGAGCAACATGTCATCAGCTTGAAGTAGTTTTGGGTGACATTCCCCTTTTTCGGTGAACGCAAAGCGGTAAAATTGACTGCCGTTAAATAGAAGGTGGAGGATTTCACCAGGCCTAGAAGGTGCTGTGTTGCGTCCCGCACCGTCAGTAGTTAAACACGCCCACAGATTCCATTTTCCTTGCTACCGAGTAGGAAAGGGAGAGTAAAAGTAGAATTTTATGGCTTCAGGATATTCGGAGGGACCCTGAGGGGAACATAGGACCCCAATAGCAAACACTTCTTCACTAGTAAGTAATGCGTCTAATCTGCATTACATACTGCAATACAGTACGCTATAGAATAAAGAAATTGTTAAACTCGATCCGCATACAAACAGCAATATCTAAGTCCAGATTTTTTTGTGTTTCCTGATGAGGGCAAGGCAGCCCAAAATGCGTAGAAGCTTGATTAAAGAACGAAGAATTAAAAGACTGAGTGTCAGACAGACGATGCAGAAGCCTCATTTCAGGAACTTTAAACACTGGTCTGGGTGTCGCTGACTGCTTACCCAAAATATGGCTAAAGGTTGAACACCACTTACGGGGTCCCTGGTGTCGTGGTTGTGCTCAGGCACGGAGCGGGGAAGCAGCAAAGGAGCCTGGAAATCCAGCAAACGAGGGATTTTAATTAGACAACAAGGAACACGATACACCATAAGAAGGACGGACGTCAACGACCGGACTGGGGAAAATATGTCTAACGCAGACTTAAATACATTGAACTAATGACAGCAACAAGAAACAGCTGGTAACACAGGGATTCCACATGAGGTAGATGAGGGGGCATGGCACACAGGAGGAGCGGATGAGCAGGGCATTAGACCTGGGCTTCTTTCCCCAATTTTTGAAGTCTTGTTGACTCAGCCAAGGCAGCTACTCAAATTCAAAGGTTTGTTTTCCCCCCAAAAAAGGCCGGTAACCACACCATGGCATGAAAGTTTCCCAGATGATTTCTCAATGGAAAACCAAGTGCTAGTTAATTGACCATGAACTGAATAAATTTTTAACATCTTGCATAGTGATTTTAGACTGACAGGAAAATGATAAATAATCTTTTTTGTACTGGAATATTGAAGTACATTTTTTCTGTGCACATGCAATTTTAGCAATGGGCTAATACCTATTTCATATAGACCTACATCTTGTAAAGAACTCTCAACGACCAGAACACACCTGTTGAGTGGCTCAGTTGGAGTGGTTCTCAAACCACGACTCCTTTGAAAACCTAAAATGTGGAACCTGATCCTGTGGCTGTGGCAGAACCCCATCCATAATAAAGAACATTTACTGTGCTGCTCTCCCAGCCTAGCGCGTCATTTAAAGAAACGGACAATAAATCACAGCAGCCAGACCAGTTACTGCAGTTACTTTATTTGACTGATTTAAGCAATAAAACACCCAGAGGATACAAAACATTAGTCAGGCCACACAAAGTCAATTATCAGGGTTTTAATTTCCACTCAAAATCATTGTCATTATTATACCAAATGATCAGAATGCAGATCTCTTCTTACATTACAAGTAATATGAATATCAAAATGAATATGAAGGTCATCTGAGAAGGTTTTGAGAGTGACCCACATTTACAAATTTCCCAGTAAATACTTCAGCAGTTAGCAGTAAGGAAGCATGATGTCATTCAGGCTGGGTGGGGGCACACTTTGTTTGTGCAGGTCGGTGCTTAAGCTGACCCTCCACCTTCACTGTCGGGCTTCATCTCACTAGGAATTCCTCAGTAGACTGATCACAGTTTCAATTATAAAAGCAACTGCACCCACACCGACTGCGGCAACTCCCATTACTCCAGCCGCCTGCAGTACCTGCAGAGTCACACAGACATGCACAGAGAGTTGAGACAGAGTCGGCTTGTATAGTCTTTGGTCACAAACATTTCTTTACAGCATAAATACAGTTTAATTGCAATTTGCATACTACACTTCCTCTTCTAATATGTTGTACATAGTTTAACCCCTTAAAAATAAATAAACCAGAAACGACAGCATTGTGTTCGTCACTCCGCCCATATAATCCGCATTCATCTCACACTCATCAACCTGTATGATTTATACTAGCACTGGACAGATCACCTGGAAATGTGAAAGTTAATAAATGAGTTTTTACTTGAATGCTTTGAGTTCTGCAGACACGTGGGTCTGAAAATACACTTTTTAATTTATTGCACATTCCACTTATATGGCAATTGCAGAATCTTTCCCCACCAATTAGGTAGTTGCTTGTGTCCCTTTGTTTATGTATAATGTCCATGTCTGAATTTTTTTTTATATTGTTTAAATTATTTATATGCTTAGATATTTATATTCTATTTATTTCGCTTTTGCAGTATGACCAGAATTTTCCGTGAAGTAACAGTAAGAACTGCAATAGATACACTGATGGTACATATGGAACCCTGGGGGGGGCTTCGGATATTTCAAAAAAATATTTGTGAGTATGATGTACATAAAACCCATTTACATTTAATTGATGCTTTTACTCAAAGAGATTTACAGTAGAGGGACAGGCTATCATGCACATTTACTGGGATTTGAACCCATGAGCTTGTCAGCACAGTGTGTCAGGATCTGTCCCTGCCCTGTCTGCTGTTTCCCAAAGTATTTGCAAAGTTTGAAAAAGATCGGGCAAATAATTTTTGAGTTATCGTGCTGACAACATGAAGAGTCTGAACTGGCCTTCTCTTTGCTATCATTATGCAGCTCTGCCTCATTTTGTTGAGATATGTCTCAAAATTAGACCGCTTCCAGATTGCCACCCCTCCAATGTCCCCGCAAAGTTTGAAATAGATCTTTAAAACGCTTTTAGAGTTACTGTGTTCACAAGATCAAATGTCTTCTACAGTTATAGTTTCCTTCTTTTGCTACCACTCAGCGCTACTACTTCATTTTTGGGGTATTTTGTCTGAAAATGAAACCATCGACTCATCCATCCATATAATGTTTTTGTGAAGCAGTAATAAGATCCATGAAATGCTTTTTGACATCATGATCACATTCACAAGGTCAAATGTCATCTGCTTTCATCCTTCCCTTTGCTGCCACTAAGCAGCATCACTTCAATTTTGCCGCGATCCTTCTCAAAATTTAACCAGTTCCAGTTCAATACTTCAGCAAAGTTTGAAAGAACCTGTTAAAAACTTTTTGAATTATCGTCAAGTGTCAAAACTGCCCTTTTTTGCAATCACTGTGCAACCCTGCATCAGTTTTCAAGCTGACTCAAAATTTTATCAGTTCCAGGTGGGCACCCATACAATGCCTCTGCAAATTTTGAAGAATATCTGTCAAATACTTTTTGAGTTATCATATTTATGGGATCAAGTGTCAAAGTGCCCCTTTTGCTATAACTATGTGACATTTCTTCGATTTTGGGGTGATCTGTCTCAAAATTGTATAATTTCCAGTTCCTTCACCATGCAATGCCTTTGCAAAATCTGAAAACTTGCTGTCAAACATTTTTGAGTTATCATCTTCACATACAAAGCATCTGTGGCAGAGGACCCGTGCTAAAAGCATATGCATATCCCGAAGTCCAGGGAATACAATAACTACTGATGCAATGCTAAACAGAACACAGATCTGCTGGAAATAATGCTTCCTCAAACTGTAAGATGCGGAAAAATGCATAACATTTTCCGAGTAATATTTTTCTTTTTTTTCTGAATTAATGAGTTAACCTTCTTGTTTTTCATGATGCACGATCTGTGTAGTTTTAATCCGCTTTCATTTCTATTTTTTTCAAGTTTTGTTCCTTTGTAACGACCTTTCAAGGTGAGAATTGATAATCCTGATATAAATGATTGAGTTGAAAAAAAGAACTCAGGTTTTAAGTAAGGTAAATGTCAGGCCCAGTAGGGTGGGACATACCATCTAAGCAGAATCCACGCCTTCATGGGCTCTATTTAAACCAGCCAGCCTTCGCAATCCTCACCTAGTATTGTAGCCTGTTCAATGTCCTGTACTGAGCCCTCTGAAGTCCCTTGTCTCTCGTCTCTTACGTCTTGTTCCCTGCCCGTCCTGCCTGCCCGTCCCTCCCGGTGTTCCTGTCTCCCTGTCTCGTCTCTCCACATAGAGAACTTCCAACCCCGACTATTCTTTCTGCCTGCTGTCTTCATTTAGTTATTTGGTATTACTGAATTTGCAAGCATGTGTTACATTTTGTTTTACAAAGTTAGGAAAGCTTTGTTTAAGTTAAGTCTGATGTTGCCTTACACATAAAAGAATGATCATAGTCTCATCCACACAGTGAGGCAAAACCTACAGCTTAAACACTGGTATCGGATCGATACTCAGTACTGGCCAATGCCCAAAGCCCCGGAACTCGTATTAGTAACAGGACAGAAAAAGTGGGATTGTGCGTCCTTAATCTCAAGATACAGACATTTGTCAGGATCTGTCCCGGTCAGCACCGTCATGTTCCTGTTTGGCCAGCAGATGTCGCTGGCCAACCCATATCACTCCAATATGCTTCATTGTTTCCAGCCCTAATGTGTCAATCACTTACACCTGCTTCTTCTTGGTTCCTCGTTTTTTTGTGTATATAGGTGCCTGCTTATGCCACCTTCCCCAGTTTGATCACTGTAGCTTTTGATGGGGATGTCAGTCACTTTAGAGTTCAGTGTTGGTGCTGTAGGTCTGTCTGACTTTGTAGTTAGTGTTCCTGCTACCCTGAACCTTGTCTCCATGTTACGTTAGCCCCCCCCCCCCCCCAAGTCCATTATTTTCAGCCTACATGTGTTTTGGTGTCAAATAAACCTGAGAAATACATTATTGTTGTTCCAACTGCATCTTTCCTAGTTAAAGTATGACTTCAGTCTACAGTTGACAGTTTACATTCCTAAAATATCAGAATCAGAAAGAGCTTTACAAGCATATGCTCTGTAACCAGCCCTGAATTTGACTAGTTTAAAATAGGCAGTCAGCCTTATAAGGAATTTTTTCAATAAATTTGCCAGAAGTTTGATCATATTAGTAGCATATTAGTATGGCTATTA